ATGACTGCCCTTGCACTGTTCACCATGTAAGAACTTATTCACTATGTAAGAACTTGTTCGTTGTGCTTCAGAAGATTGGAGACTGTTGAGAAATAGGCTTGGGGTTGATTAATGACTGTACATTGAGTCCCCTATACAGAATTTTATTGTTGTTAACAACCATTTTATCAGTAAATATGAGAGATGCCCTCTCAAAAAGAAAAGAAAAAAAAAAGAAAGAAATACCATTTTAACCAGGAATTCCACTCCTCGGAATTTACCCAAGGAAAATAAGATCGCAGATTCAAAAAGACATATGCACCCCTTTGATTATCGCAGCACTATTTACAATAGCGAAGACATGGAAGCAACTTAGGTGTCCATCTGTAGATGAATGGATAAAGAAGAGGTGGTACATATACACAATGGAATATTATTCAGCCATAAGAAAAAAACAAATCCTACCATTTGCAACAACATGGATGGAGCTAGAGGGTAGTATGCTCAGTGAAATAAGCCAGGAGGAGAAAGACAAGTGCCAAATGATTTCACTCATCTGTGGAGCATAAGAACAAAGCAAAAACTGAAGGAACAAAACAGCAGCCGACTCAGAGCACAAGAACATGGACTAATAGTTGCCAACGGGAAAGGGGCTGGGGTTGGTGGGTGGGAAGTGAGGGATCACGGGATTAAGGGGCATTATGATTAGCACACAGTGTAGGGGGTGCTCAGGGAAGGCAGTACAGCACAGAGAAGATCAGTAGTGTCTCTATAGCATCTTACTACACTGATGGACGGTGACTGTAATGGGGTGTGTGGTGAGGACTTGATAATGGGGGAATCTAGTAACCACAGTGTTGCTCATGTGGTTCTCTATTAATGATATCACAATAAAAATAAGAAACAAAAAAAAACAGTGTCTCTTTAAGGCTTTCTAAATAAAACACAGAAAATGAGATTTGTCCTACAAGTATAAAACCTTTTTTTTTAAAGTTTTACATTTTAGAATTGTTTCGATTTACAGAAGATTTACAAAGATAGTATGGCGAGTTCCCACATACCCCACATCCAATTACCCCAGTTATTAGCTTCCTGTGCTATGTGGTACATTCACAGTTAATGAATTGGTATTGTTACAGTGTTAACGTTAATTTGTATGTAAAGTCCTTTTTCTGTTCCAGAATCCCATAGAAGTTACCAGCTACCTCATCACATTTCACTGCCACGTCTTGGCTCCTCTTGGTTGTGACAGCATCCCTTTTGTTTTTACCTAGAAATTCTCCAGAATTTCAGAAACTTCTGGGCATTGCTATGGAACTTTTTCTGTTGTGCAGTGATGACTCAGAGTCAGATGTCAGGATGGTGGCTGATGAATGCCTCAACAAAGTTATAAAGGTAAGAGTTTATGGACAGTGTTTTTTGCGCCGAGAAGGAACCATACTTCATGTGCTTTCGTTTTGCATAGCCAAGTGCCTTAGGGTGTCTGCACTTTTCACTTGGTGGTGTGTTGCTTGGAGGTGTCCTGGCGTCCACTGGCCTGCTTGCTACTTCTGCTGAATCATATGCAACTGTGTTTACCCTTGTGACTGAGCAGCGTGTTTGTCAGGGACAGGCGCTGATGGTGACCTCTCGGTGCTCTCGGGGAAAATGTCATGACAGGCACCAATTAGTATGTGGGTAGAGCCCTGAGAAACCTCAAGGCTGAAAAGGCATGGTGATGTGGGATGGTATCCACCTGCAGGGTCTCTAGCCTCTTCCTTGTCTCCTTTCCCTGCCTCCTAAGTCCTTGGTTTGGCAGTACTGTTTGCAGGTCCAGATGTGACCTCTGTAGCAGGTTAGCTAGGGTTAATGTGAATGACTGGGGGTAAAGGAAAGAGTGTAAAGCAGAAAGCCAAAACCACCTGGGTTGTAGGTGTGGCAAGGAGAGAGGAGGAGCCCCCATCTTCTGTTACTGTCTCTGATGCAGTGTCTGCCCTGAAATCACAGCTTTCTTTGACTGTCCTGCTTTCTGTTTTCTGCTAACATGGAAGGTAAAGTCCTTCGTCCATCCTTCTTAACTGGAAAGTCATCTTTGCTTTTCTCGTCCTTCCCTTCTAGCTTGTGTCCCACACCCATCTTGGCCACCTTCTAGACTACTTTGTATGTAGGGGGTCCTTCTTCATCTCTAGGTGGTCCCCTGGTCTTCTCCCTGCACCCACACTTCATCATGCGTTTGCTTGCAGCCTGCCTGCCACAGGAAGGCCAGCAGCCATTCACTTGGTCTGCACTCGAGGTAGCCCATGGGTGACACTCGCATGTGCCTGGGGTCCCACAACATATTTGTAGGTGGCCTTGTTCCATTACACTTACTTCCCTCCAGGCCTAAATGTCCTTGCTTGCTTTATTATTCCCATTGTCAGGACCAGGGTAGGCTTTTTCTGATATTTTAGTTTTTGACATTGACCCTTAGAATCAGAAAATCCAAAGAGGGCACCACAGGTTGCTTTGGTTCATGGCAAGAGGGAGATAAAGGAGAGCAGAGACAACAGTATGACCCAAATGTTGTTCGTTTTACATGTAGGCATTGTTCCATTTTTAAGCCCGTTTTCTCCAGAGATCTATTTCCAAGAACTGCTGGATAGAATAGCTTGGTGTATGTCTCAGGGTCATGGCCGTGACCTTAGGTCATGGCTTTAGGTCCTGGCTTCTCCTCCTGGCTGTCTCCCTATTCTTTCCCTTCCCCTCTTTTTTGTGTCTAGCCTTCCAGTGCAGAGACTGCAGCTTCTCCTCCTCGCCTGTGAACATAAGTTGGGCATAACGGGGTTTGGCTTAGCTCATCTCTGCACTTCCTTAAATGCTCTGGTCTTCAGGATCAGTGGGCTGGGAGCATGGTTGGGCTGTCTAGGTTTGCTTTCACTGTGGCACGGGAAGGACAGGCTTGGAGATTGGAAGGCCCTAGGGCCAGGTACCTAGGCTGGGCAGGAATACAGAAATGGCCAATTACGAGTTAGGTCCCGGGCTTTTGTCTTCTAATGGGTATTGTTATTGGCTTATAGTGGGGACCAGACTCTACGTGGCCCACAAATGTGAGGCTTATCTTGCTTTTCATTTATGTTGGAAAATGCACTGGGAGCTGATTCAGCCTGAAAGCGTGCTCCTGACTTCAAGTAATTTACAGTCTTACCTGGGAGCACATGTTTGTACAGAAATAACTTAATATATGGTGTAAACTCTAGTTTTGAGAGGTGCTGGCAATTTATGTCAGGAGGCTGTGAGGATTTCTGTCTGGAGAGGTGGAGAAGACTTCCAGGGGGCGATGGCTAGCATGTGAGTGAAGAGATTTGGGGCCTTCTTACCCACTGAAGCCTCCCATCTCTCGGGGGTACCAGGAAAACTCTACAGGCCCCAAAGGGAGGGTGCCCCTGGGGTTGCTGGAGATTGGGAGGCATTGTGGGTCAGCTCAGGGAGTTTGCACTGTATCTGGTAGAGAATGAGGAGTCTCTGTTAGTTTTGGGGTGGAAGTAGGGGGTCAGGAGCAGTTGGGGATCAGATAGTGCATTATCTTCAAACAGGAGCTGTTAAAGCGAAGTCTGTGCTGTTATAAGGGGTTTCAGATTTAGTTTTCTCTTGTTATAAGTTTGATAGTAGTTTAAAAAACATTTGTAAATCAAAATAAAATTTTGGTAAGCCTCATGCTCTTATTTGCAAAGTAGTCTTTTAATAAATATTTGTCCATTTTGGTGTGTTCACTTAAGGATTTTTAGTACAAGCTGATGCAGCAGAATTAGGATTTAAAATTTTCTAGACATTATTATACTTAAGAAACTCCCAAAAGGTGACTCTGCTTTTGATTTCCAAGCTTGCCCAACCAGTAGGTGAAGCCATACGAGTTTTACTAAGACCAGCTTGGTTTGTAGACATCACATGAAAGGAAGAAGCCTTTCCAGCTGACCTTGGTTATGTCCTTACTCCCTTCTTGGGGGACAAGCCATTGGCAATACCATTTTAGAAGTAGGCTGGAGAGGGGCACAAAAACCTTCCCCGCTTTTCCCTCCAGCTTGAGAAGGCCTCTTGCATGTGGGCTTTGTGCAGTTGGTGGTGGTTGCCACCAGCCCTGGGATGAAGTTGGCTGTGTGGCGATTGGTTTTGTTTTGGCCAGTAAGCAAGCAGGGAACAGGGCAAGAAAATGTGTTCCAGCATGAGGCTCCTGGCTGGCTGCGGGTTCTGAGCAGCACTGGGACCCTGGGACTGGCGGCGCCCGTGAGTCAAGGGAGAGGAGACCGGGCCTTCAGAAGGGAGGGTGGGTTCTGCATTGAAAGGTGTGTCCCCCCACCAGAGTGAGAGGCTCTGGGCTTAGGAGCCCACCCTCTGCCCCACTGGCACCTCAGACTGTAGGGCAGTGCTGTGTGGGATTATCCCCCAGAGTGTGCTTTAGCGAAGAAAGAAACCTTTCAGACTTTTTCTTTCACTCGTTGAATGTTAAAGGTTTAATATAAGAGCTACAGAATACATTTGAACTATCTACCACTTAATTTTGATATTACATAGTATTTGATTATAATAAAAGTTAAACTTTTCTTTCCATTTTTTATTCAAGTGAGTGCCCTGTATCTAGTTTATTCAGTAGCATCCTGTATAATGCTTTCTTAATGAATTGGTTCTTAGTTTAGTTGCTGTTATATTCTATTTTGCCCCAGAACTGGAATTTGATTTAGAGCTGCTAATGAAATTATCTTCCATGAACAAGTCTCTCATACTTTGTTGTAGGCGTTGATGGATTCTCATCTTCCGAGGTTGCAGTTAGAACTCTATAAGGAAATTAAGAAGGTAGGCCTCTATGTTCCATTATTGAAAAAATGGTATTGTTTCACTGTATTGAGTGGTATATGTGAACTTTTGTCTTTTATTTAATAAGTAAAAATGTTAGGAGATGTTTGGGGAAGTAGACTTTATTGTTTTACTTTTCAAAAGGTTGCTCTTCATTATTTATTAGATGAGATAGGAATTAAAAATGGTAATTAAAAAAATATCTTTATAATTATCATTTCTAAAGCAGTTACACATTTAAATGTCCTTTTCTCTAAACATAGAAATTGAAAATGGAAAAAAGTTGCTTTTGTTTATATGAAGTCCTGTTGGTGACTAGTGTCCATGACTCTGAATATAACATGCTGCCCCTTAAATCCACTCAGAATGGGACTCCTCGGAGCCTGCGCGCTGCCCTGTGGAGGTTTGCTGAGCTGGCTCATCTGGTTCGGCCTCAGAAATGCAGGTACGTTTTAAGCTCTAGATGATTGTTTTTTTGGTGGGAGCCTAGCTCCCCTGGATTCTTTATCTCTCAGCTCAAATGTCACTTTGTCAGAGGTATTCCCTGTTCACTCTAACGCTGCACACTTCCTGCCCTTCAAATGGCTGTCGAGGTAATAGCACTTCCTGCTGTCCAAGATACTCTTGCATCTTTATCAGTGTGCGTGTTCTTTTTCTGTCCCACAACCCCCAAGAGACGTGGGAGATGGACCCCTCGGGCAGCAGGGGTCTCCTTGTCTATTCTCTGTTCTCTGCTGCTGCCCCACACTGCTTTCATCGACTGCCAGGGCTGCGCGGGGCAGTCGCTGAAAAGATAACTTGTCAGGTGGTTGAAAGTTGAGTATCAGCCTCATTATTACTCACTGGAGGAGTTAGAGAAAAAACGTTGCTTACATAGGCTAGAAATGTTAAACTGAGAATAAAGTCTGACTAGTTAAATAGGTCTGTCTTAGTGGACTGAAAAACAGATTGGCCACAGTTCTCATCACTGTTGTCCTTCTCTCCTTAACTGACAGATGAGCTGATGTTCAGTCTTCGGCTCTGCTCCTGAGAAACTCGTGGAGTGGCTGAAATCCTCCCTGTTAATTTTCGTGAAATGATTTATTCCACTGAGTTTGAGTTAAATAAGAATCTTGTATGGCTGTAGAGACATCACTAAGGAAATTTCCTTTTCTTTACTATCCTTATTTTGAAAATTTGTTAAATTTGGAAGCAGCACATCCCAAGTTCTCTACATAGCAGCCAGAGTGACCTGAAAAAAATGATTGGTTCATGTCATTCCCTTACTTAAGCTCTTTACTCATTTCCCAGGGATGTTAAGATAAAATCCAGACTCCTTACCAAAGCCCAGGGAGATCTTGCCCCAACTGGCCCGTTACCTCAGACACCCACTGACTCATTGGCCTGATTTCACTTCTTCAGAAAGTCAGGTTTCCCTTACTCCTGATGGCTGGTTTATTTTTTTCCCTCAGTTCTCAACAAAAAAGCCATCTCCTTAGAAAGGTCGGCCGAGCCCCACTGCAGTCCGAGGTGCAGACTAGCTTGTTGCCTGCGTCTGCCACTAGGGGGCGCCGGGCACGTTCACCAGGTGTGCAGGGAATCCTGGGTCCCTGCTGTCTGCCCTGTGACTCACTTGTCTTGCGTCCATCCTACGTGACTGCTTCTTTCGTGGGGGTGCCAAGTCTTATCTGTAAGGCCTGTCTAGCGTAAACACCTGAAGAAGTTTTTTTTGATAGTGCTTCTTTTTCAAGAAAGCTTTGTTCTTATAACTTAAATTTTTTTAATGGTGTTTTCTTATAATTTTCTAGTTTAGGATATGAGTGTTTCAATAACTCTTATAATTTACTGCAAATAATGTTTAAAACAAGCTTCTGAGCATCCTCTGCTTATGGGGAAGTTGAGTGTGAGTGTCCCCAGCATTTAAACTTCATCTGCATTTAGTTCTTCTGTCCACTGGGGTTTGTCCACTTTCCACTATGGACTGTTTTGCATATAAAAACTGGCTTTTTCCAGACAGGCGCTAAACGAATTGCTCCTGTGCCCCGTGAAAGTAGATGTGGGAGAGTAACTTGGGCTCTTCTCACATTCACAGGCCTTACTTGGTGAACCTCCTGCCTTGCCTGACTCGGGTAAGCAAGAGACCTGAGGAATCTGTTCAAGAGACCTTGGCTACAGCTATACCCAAAATTATGGCTTCTTTTGGCAACTTTGCAAATGACAATGAAATTAAGGTATGAATGTTAACCTAAAGTCACAATCATGAATAAGTTCCATGGGGAGCTCAGGCTGTGGACAAGCAGTTCTTTGGGAGTACTTCTTGAGTTAAGTTGTGGCTTTATAATTTATTTAAAATATTTTGAGTTATTTTGAGGTATTCTAAGAGCTTCTTTTCACTTCTTTCTTGTCATGGGATGAAGAGTTTGATTTGGGAGATGGTTTATAGATATAAATCCAAAAGGCATTTTTTTCAGAGCAGATTGCTTTTTGGGGTGCTAGATTAGATTGACTCCTTGACCTGGTTGAGAAAGGGTGACTGTCCCAGGACTGCAGGTAGGAGAAAGCTCACTGGTGATGCCTTGTGAGTGCGAATGCCCCATGGCTATCAGGGACAGCTTGACTTCCTGATTGTTCTGCATCCAATAGGTAGCCTTCAGAGCTGCCTTAGTGTTTTGTTTATAATGTCCAGAAATTGTGACCCTGTCACACGGTCTGAGGATTACCGATTCTTGACCTTCTTTTTGTGGGTCAGTTCTGTGTTAGCATTTCTTTTGGTATTTCCCACCACATTGCTAAATAGCATGCTTATACTGCTAGGTTTGTATTTACATTTTTTTTTTTCGTTTGATTTTTATACTTGATTTATATGTGGATCCCACATTTTTCCCTTTATTATTATTATTTTTTTATTTTTAATAAAATGCTGAAGTGGTAGGTGGATGCAAGATAAAGGTAGAAAACATAGTTTAGTGTTGTAAGAGAGCAAATGCAGATGATCAGGTGTGTGCGTGTAGACTATGTGTTAATCCAAGCTAGACAGGGGCATTGAAACGTCCATGGATGCAGAAGATTTCTCTCAAAACAGGGGGGGTGAGGTTCTAAGCCTCACCACTGTTGATCCCCAATTTCTCACCTGATGGACCCCTGCGACTGTGCCTGTCTTAGGTTGTTCCTCCCTTGAGGAATCTTACCCGTCTCTGGCTAACCAGTCATCTTCCGGGGCCATACAGGGAAATGTAAAGTTGGTGAGAGAGAAGCAATATTGTTTGAAAAGGTTAGCTTTTTACTTCTTTGCAGATTTATGCCCT